CCCTTCCTGCTGATTCTACCAGTCCTGATAACTGGCACCAGTGAACCCTCAAAGAGTTCACTGAGATGCAACGACAAACACTCTAGGCTAGATAGCTCTGCAATTCGCATAATTGTAATGCTCATGAGCAGGGCAGATTGATTTAAAACAATGTGATGATTGAAATCATGATTTAAATAATCAAGAGAAAGCCCTGATTTAAATCAAGTTTCCCACTGATACTTCTTCACATATTTCTTAAACAATGGTTCAAATCTGATCATTAAAACATGTTAATTTACAACTCAAGAGAGCATTTTACAACATCTGTCCTTAAACTCTTTTTTTTAATTTTCAAATTTTATTAACTCTAACAGACGTCTAACAGACGTTTAGTCTGATGACAACGTCTAACAGACATTTAGTCTGATGACACTAAACGTACGCTTTCCTTAAAACTTCTATAACTAGATCTCATCTTCCTCACTCCCACTGTCATTTTTATTCATAGACTGAAACAGAAATACAAGTTTTCCTGCTTTTTCAACTCCCAAGCAATTTCTTAGCTTTGAGTGAATAATACCAAACGATGAAAATATTCTCTCTGTGCCTGCAGAGGAAGCTGCTGCTGTGAAAAGTTGGCTTAGCAACTGAAGGAACTCTGTGTTAAGGTGCCTGGCTAATGATTTCTACCAATTCAGGGGAATGACTGTTCAAAACATCATCAGTAAACATGTACTGTTTGAATGGTCCCCCTCCAGCCCTGAAATGTATTATGACTGGCATAACTGAGGAGTGATTTTAAGATGCCCATGCCATGGCAGCATCGTCTTCTTCAGAAGTTAGGCATCTACCTTTATATCTGGGGTTAAGAATGTCTGCAAGAAAATGAGGTAGAGTTTGTGCTTGATGCATTCGCTCTTTGTTGCCTGCAATTTAACTTTCTGGTTAGGTATTTCTTTCTTCAATGTCTCTTGAAGTGCCTTCCAAATTTCAACAGCATCAGCAATGCAGCAACAATCTCTCTGAAGTTTGTTTAGGGTTATGGATATAGGCTTCAGTACACTGAGCATATTCTCTACATTCCTCTTTAATCCAGTGTAGATACTTTGGATGAGATACTTCCATCTATTTTACCACAGTTTTATTCACAATTTTTTTATGAGAATAGGCCAATTGTTACTAAATTGTTCAAAGCCATCAACCACAGAATTCCACTGAACATCTTGAGGGACAATTAGTTTGGATCCTCCTGCTCTCTTCAGTGAAGTTGAAGCAAAATGGTTGTTATGGAAGTATTTTGTGACTTCAACAATATTTTCTTTTTGTCCTGGAGAAGTACTTAAGTCTTTGGCTAAAAGATGCATTAAGTGGGCACTGCAGCCATATGTTATTAAGGAGCATCCTTCCGTTTCTTCTTCTAAGTAGCTTCTCATCTTTGCCATGTTTGCAGCATTGTCTGTGACAAAACTGCGCACATGACAGTTGAATGTTTGTTCAGTTTATTACAGCTTTCACTCCTTTTTCTTTCAAATATTCAGCTGTGTGGGCATTTCCCAATGTATCTACTGTTTCTGAAAGACATGCAACCCCATCTTCTGTTATCACACAGGCATATATTACTGGATCATTGTGTACCTTGCTCCACCCATCAAGGCTTAAACTGGCAAATTTCCCCTCAGTATTTCTTGCACACTGTACCAGTTCCTTCTTATACACTGAATCTAGCAACCTTCCACCAATGTCTGCTCTGCCAGGTGGAGTGTAGCCTGGTCGTAGAACTCAACCATGTTAATGAAGTGTTTATTGTTAATAATGCGAAAAGGAGAATTTGGGGCATAAATGAACCAAGTAATCTTTTCATCTATGGTGTCTTCTTGGTATTTGCTGGTCCTTACTACAAGCCTATCCATGGTGGTGATTTTACTGGATGATTGAAATCCTTTGCTTGCTATTGATACTTTGTTGTCTGAAATACATTTAGTTGCAGTACTGCTGTTAAAAGTACCCGTGGATGACTCAGAAGTTGTTGCAGATAGGTAGTCAAACTCTCTTATGCTTCAGTGGGATCCTGAAACAAAAATGATTTTCGAATAGTCATTCTTCTCAGTCCTTCTCACTCTATTATTCAGTGCATCATTTACATTTTTTTTTCAGCAAGGATGCAGCTCCGATTCCAAATTACCACAAAAGCTAAGACTGACTGCACTTAGAGTGCACTTAATTTTGGAGTAAGCCCATTGAACTCACTGGCACTTCTGTTTTTTGAGAAAACAAGGATAGGATGGGGTTCCCTTGGGAAAGCTGAGTTATGCTGAAGTAAAATAGGGAATAGATTTATGGCATCACCATTATGGTCTGGGGCCATGATGTTCCAAAATAAGGGGCATGTATTATGTAATATAAAATAAGAAAATGACACCCAGTGGAAACTGGCAACTCTAGATTTCTCTTACTGCAGCCTTCTGTACCATAAACTTGGGTGATATATTCTAAACCTAGTTAGCTAATTAAACAAGCCATAAGGATTAGCTAAGCTAAGCTTTTTTTTTCTAGCAACATAGAACATAGCAAACAGCTTGGGGATTTACTTGTTAAATCACACTTAAACTAAGAAGGCATAGAGAGAGTTTTGAAGAACGATGCATTGCAAAGTGAATTATTTAATTTACTAACCAGTTGATCCACATTGTTCTTCAGACATATCCACATCTTCATCCACATCATTTTCTCCCAATATGCAGTTTTAACTATGATGTTTCATTCTTGCAACTAGGCCCTGAATCTCCTTCTTCCACTGCTTACACTTGACATGTTTTCCTTTTTTACCCAGTGAAGGAATTTCTTCAAAATATTCCCAGATAGGGTCTCTCTTATGCCCAGAAGCCAAGAAAGTTTTTCTGTGGCAAAAGTGTGGGGGAATATAGGAAGCTGTGTGTGTACTACTGAATAATGTCTTACTGTTTTCTTTCCAGTCCACTCCACTGTTCCTTTCTATTCTGCCTCCATCATTTCCTATATTATCTCTCTGTCTTTAAGACAGTGTCTTAACTAACTCCTCCACCTTGCTTGGCCCAGCTCCACCACCACATAAGCACAGAACAACAACAGTCCTATCCAGCCTGTGTCTTTGCACATGTGACTTTAGTCTCCTGAGAAACAGAAACTGAAAGCCCAGAACTTTCAAAAAGCAAGAGTTGGTAGTTAGGTTGGACAGACAGACTAGAGCCATTTTCATGAGCAGAAAAACTGAAATGAATGCCCATGTTTGTTTGGCAGGTAACTAAATGTGTGTGTGTGACAGAGAGATTAATTCATTTTTATGAGACTGTAAGTGTAGGTTTAGGATGGTTGTGATGAGATTTAATTGTAACTGTTATTTTTTAAATGACAGAGAAATTTAGTATTTTATTGATGATTTTAAAACATATATATATTAAAAAATCCAATTTAAATAAAAACATTCTAATTTTTTTTAATTAAAAATAATCATTGATTTTTATCCACCCTGCTCATGAGTCATCAGAACCCTCTCAAAGTTTCTGGCCACGCAGAGATATCTGAAAACCATCATACTGACAGTTCATTACTCCCAGATGCCTTTCCTATTGTAGAATTGATTGCCCCCCTCAAAGGCTGACAAGGCACAGGAGTGCCCATCCCACCAAGGCTCCTTTCCATTTGCTATGATGAGTAGCAATTGTCCTGGCCCTACAACATAATGGCAAGGGATCATTAGGAGTTCTGCCAACTCTTTAAATTCCCTGGCTAAACCATATCCAAAACCATAAAGATATACATAGCCAGCATAACATAATCCATCAGTGATAACAATAACATAAATACATACAGCAAAACATGTGCTCATAGCATGTTCTCAGTTCTAATCCTCAAAGGGAATTTACAAAACATCTTTTGTAGACGAACCTATGAAATTCACTTCATAAATCTACTGGATACAAAAAAAAAATGGACTAAATATAGGCATTGGATTTATGACACATTATAACCTGCCTGCCATCTGATAACCCCAGGTAACCTATCTACATTTTACCAGTGTAACAGGGTGCCATCCCAAAGAGGTTCTTTGGGAATTGGAGCTGGGGGGCAAAAAAGGCACCAGTCACAGGGCTCAAGTGCCTAAATACTAATGCTAGGAGCATGGGGAACAAGCAGGATGAACTAGCACTCCTGCTTGCAGAAAACACCTACGACTTAGTAGGGCTATCTGAAACCTGGTGGGATTCTTCCCACGACTGAGCGGTACATATTGAGGGTTATAGTCTGTACAGAAAGGACAGGGTGGGGAAGAAAGGGGGAGGGGTTGCGCTCTATGTAAATGAGCAATATACATCGACCCTTATCAAGACGGAATCGAAGGAGGAGAAAGTAGAAGGATTGT